GTGGGATAAAATGGACAATTCCTAGTAAAATACAATAGGGACATTAACACATAAAAATTGGAGGGAGTTTTACAATTATTAAAGCAATGAAATTCACTATTTTAAAACTTCTGGAAAGGCTCAGCTTTACCAAAGATTTCCAACAATTATCTACATCAATCTTCTACACTTTCTCCAGAGAATGGAAAAATAAATATCCCCACTTGCTAAGAAAATTGTAAATTAGGGATAATCTCAGGCACCGTAACCAGGCGTTAGCACGGAGTATGTGTCCGTCTTGCTGCTCTGTGTGTTTGTGTGTGTGAGAGAGACACATCTCTTTGCACTAGGCTATATTTCTTGGTTTCTACTTGCGCCTTGTCAGGCATGACATCGTCATTGTTGAGGGCATCTACTGTGCACAGGGCCTGCATGAGCGCGGAGGTGTCAAGAGACTGTGCCGTTTACTTCCTTTTGCTTGCTCAGCTCCAGACCCCCTTTTTAAATCCCATCCCAAGGTGCTGGGGCGGGGTCTCCACAGCCCGTACATACACCTCAGCCCCTGTCTTGTGCTTGGCTTCCTGCAAGGCTTGGCAATAGAGATCATCAGGAAGGCCCCGGCATGCAGATGGCGGTGAGAAGGCCATTGTTTCCCAGTGGCCAGCTTCTACTGGCCGCTGACAGCCGTGGCCTTTACGCTCCAATTACTTGAGCCCCACCTGCTGTCACTGGTGCCCCAGGGGACAGGAGAGGTTCTTCTGTCTCCTTGGAGGGCGCAGGGCTCAGTTAAGAGTCATCGGGTTAAGAGCCTGCCTGGGCCTTGATGTGGGCCTGGCAGCCTGGGGTGAGAGGCACTGAGCTGCCTTCCAAGGTCACATTCCTAGCCTAAGCCCCTCGCCTGGAGGTTCCTTTCTGCCTCCCCCACAACAGCAGCACTGAAAGTCTGGCAAAGTGAGTGTCTGAGCCCCACCCACAGCCTCTCCAGAGGGGAAAGGTGTCCTCTCCGGTCTGCTCAGCAAGTCTGTTCTGACGGAGGGGCTGGTGCACAGCCCCAGGGGCTGGGCACAGGGTGTCCAGTCCGTCACTGGATTTGCTTGCTGATGTCGTTGGAAAGAGACAGGACACCATGCACGCCCACCTCCAGGAAGGGGTCCTGTTAGCGATCCCAAAAGAGAAGGCAGGCTTGTCAGCACAAGACGAGGGGAGAGGTGGTGGGAGTTATGGCGACCATACCCGAGTGGGAAATCCTACCTCAGAATATTAACAAAGATGTAAGATAATGGGGCTTCCTTAATAAAAGAATTAGAAATATACACACACACCCTTAACAGGAACATGGGGGCCACCTGGTGGAGGGTTTTAATCACAAGAAGGACAAAGGAAGTTTGGCAAGGAGGCAGGGGGCCTCCTCAGAGCACCAGGCTGCGGGCAAGCAGCTGGACAGCAGTCTGGAGCACGCCAGGCCTCTGCTCCCCGGGGCCGTGTGCTTCTCAACGGCGTCTACTCCAAGTCTCCGGGTTCTGGGGCTGAGCTGGGCTCTTGGCAGGACCCAGAGAGACCAGCAGATGAGGGTGTGGGGGGATGGCAGAGACCCACGGAAGCGGGCAGTAAGCCATCTGCCCACCTGCTGGCAGAGAGGAAAGCACCAAGCTTCGAGGGCAAGGTGGGATGGCCGTGCAATTCCGCCATGTGGCTCCACCCCTACTGGTCTGGTTCCTAGATCAAGGGTGTGTGTGGGGGTAGGTGGGTGGGGTGGGGTGGGGGGTTTGTCCTTCACCAAAGGGGTCCAGGTGAGTGCCCAGAGGGGCCCCAGTGTGAGAGCTAGTGCAGGCCATGCCTTAAGTTTGTAGACCTAAGAGCGAACAGCCCCGCTCCCTCCAAGGATCCCTCCAAGGCCCGTTGTTCCCCTAATGCCAGCTACAGAGAGAAAGTTCAACACAACCATCCTGCTGGTGGAGATGTGGAGGGCCAGGAGCTGCCTTCCAGTCAGCAGAAACAGTGGGTGGAGCCGGCACCCTCCCCAGGAGAGCTGGGGGGACTCCCCAGCCTCCCCGTCGTAATTCCAGAACACGAGGGGGTTTCCAATAGAAAACCTAACCTCCTTGCACAAAAGTATTCCTAAGTGTTCACATTGACTGAAATATATGAAACTGTCCCGTTTCCACTATTTTAAAGCTATACCCATTGCTCCCAACTTCCCCTCTGTCAACATTGCCTTTTCCTAGTATGTACAGTGCATCTCCTGTAAGTGGCACGGAGTTGATTTTTTTACCCTTGACCTTAGCTGAAAGGCTGAGAAGCGATGGAGCGGATTTTTTAAAAAAATATCTAATCTCGCACTTTTTAATACTGAGCTGTAATTGCTGCTAAATTGGGTTTTACATCTCCACTGCACTAACCATTGTGGTACTCTAAATGTCGTGTCTGTGCTAACGTTCCTTGTGTCCTTTCCTATTTGTTTGAATATATTTTGGATTAAATATTGTCACTGCATTTGCTCATCTGTCTGTCCAAAACCGAGCGGGGGTTCCCACAGGTCCTGGACAGTTGTGGCCTGGACTGCAGTCTGCACTTCTTACCCTAGAACAACCGAATCGGATCGTGGAGCCAGCAACAAGCTCTCTCTGTCCATCCCAGAGGCAACTCTGAGGGCAGAATGGAGCCACCCACGGTCTGGCGACGATTTCCTTCTCTGCTCCTGAAGGGAGGGGCAGAGAAGGTGTCTGAGGAAGGTCCTCAGGATCAGTCCCCTTTCTCAGGAGGTCACGAGAGCTTGTGCCCAGGGCCAGTGAGACTCCAGCCGGCGACGCCTGGTACCCGAGGGCCAGCAGCCCGTGCCAGAGCCTGGCTCTGTGCTCCCGTCTGTTCTCTCCACTGGCCCCCACACACGGCCTTTCCAGAGGACTCTGTATTTCCACTGCATTGGGGGGGACGGGGGCGGGTAGGAGGTGGTGGTGTGTCAGTATCAGCCTCTAAGAGGCAAAACAAAGTGTCTTCTGAATCTATTCAATCACCAGGCTTGCTGGACTCTGCCTTGCTTTGAGTCAATCCCATGACAATAATGCTGGTGCACAGTGGACCACACTTTTATAAAGTTGTCTGCTGTAGTCCCGAGCCTTGTTTCCTGTAGAAAGAAAGGTCGCTTTTAAAATTAATCACAAAAGTCCTAGAGGATATTACAAAAATGCCTCTCTGCCTCTCCTGAGGTACTTTAATGCTTCCAGCTGTATGAGAGGTGGTTGAAATCAATTGTACCTTAGTCATTTAAATAAGCGGGGGTGGGGAGGGGTGGGAGGGGGGGACCCTGGAGAATAGAAAAGCAAATACACGTTTTCTTTACCTTAGTCAAGAAGATATTTGTTACAGAGACAAGACCAAAATCAATGAGAAGTAATCTGTTAACTGGGAAACTTAAAAAATAGTATCTCAGTGCGATCTTCTTCCACCAAAAATAATAACAATAACAACAGCAATGATAATGTCATGTGAGTAACAGTTCAGCGGCTGTGCCTACAGTGAAGGAAGGCACTGGAGATCTGTCTACCACATTATACATTCTGTGCGCTTGTCCTGTTACTCAAAAAGCAATTAGGGTGCAGAAAACAGGACAAACATTTTTCTGTTCTAACTGTTCCTCAAAAAGAGATTTTATTGGGCGAGGATTTCTGAGGAGTGATTTTTGCTCAGCACCTGGCTGTGAGTGGCGCCCACCCACCAGCTCAGGGCTGCAGCGCTGGCGTCAACGCGCCCACGGGGTATTTTCTAGTCCCTGGGGTCCAACCTCTCTCTGGGCTTTATAATGCAGATCCTGGGCAGAATGGGAGGAAGGTACCCAAGGGGGCCAGAAACTGAGAGTGGCTGGGGTGGGGGTGTGGGTGTCCTCTGGGTTCTTCCTCTGCGGGGCTGTGTCTGCCTCATCGGAAACCTGACAAGTCTCCTTCCGGGTCTGCTGTGCACACTGGACTTGGGGCATGTGGGGAGAAGGGTGGCTCCTGACTCACCAGCCCAAGAGTGAGGCTGATGCTGGGACCTGTCTCTGGACACTCCTCAAGGGGTGTCTCTAGCCTTTGGTGATGGCTGTCCAGGTTTATGGCTATGCAGTCTGGCCGGGTTGGACAGCAGAGGCGAGAGAGCACAGTGTGCTCTTTCTGTTCCAAGATTTCCTTGTGGCCAGGTGCTCACGTGCGTGTGCTCCCCAAGGCTTGGCATCCTGGCGCAATGGAGGGGAGAGCAGCCTGCCCGAGGTCCCACCAACCCAATGCCCCGGGTCAACACCAGGCCTTTGCTGGCCCGAGGGAGGGATCAGGCAGCATCAGGGAAGCTTTCCTCTGAGGAACAAAGTCATCAACAAAGGCTATGGGGCCCAAGAGAGGAGAATTCCAGGGAATTCCACAATAACCCTGGGGAGTTATTTCTGGGCATTTATATTTCCAGGTATCTCCAAACACATTTATAAGGAATTTTTGAATGGTTCAGATATTCAGGGCTAAGTTTAACCTACATTTCACTCTCCCAAACAAAGCTGGAAATACATTGAAAAGAGAATTAACAAGAACACCACAGGCGACTACACACTCACTGCTATCATCATCTCATCTGATCCTTATTCTAACCCTGTGAGGTCACCAGGGCAGGCATTACATAGTCTCATTGGAGAGAGAAAGCACCTCTCTCCTGAAGCAGCCTGAAGGTTTCGCTAAATCACCCATGGCGGACAGTGGCCCGTGAGCTCGGACTTCCGGCCCTCAGCTGTCCTTCTTGCCACGTTTCGCTGCCCTTCTAATTTCATCCTGAGGAGCTAGGCTGCTGCCCTGGAAAACATGGGCTGGCTGAGCTTGCAGCCTGCCCTGAGGATGGCACAGAGAGAAGCTGAGGGGCCTGCAGCACCGTGAGCTCCTGAAAGCACTGTCTGAACAGTGAACATCCTCTGGAGAACCCCGTGAAATCTTTGACCAGTCTGAGCACTAACTGCAGTAAAATCCACGGGATGCTTATATTTAACATTTTAACACAAATTAACAACATTTTGTTAAATACATATTGGGGACAGGGAATGTGGTTAGAAAGAGGAACCAACAGAATCTAGGTTCTGGTGGGTCCGGCGGCCACAGGAGGGGGAGGGGCGTCCCCGGCTTCCAGCGGCCCGTGCCGTGCTCTGAGCCCTGGGAATAGCATGACTCCCGCTAGCGGCCATGCTGCCCATTGGGAATGAGGTGCCTGTTGGCCCCCAGGCCGTTGTTCACACAGTCTTTGTCTTTGCCAGCTTCTCCCTTCTCTTCCTCCTCTTCCTCGTCGTCATCGTCGTCGTCATCCTCATCCTCGTCCTCATCGTCACTCCTCACGTCCTGTAAGTTCTAGACGAAGGAGAGACGGCTGTGAGCGACAACCTTCCAGAATCTGGGGTGAATCAGCCCATGAGTAAGTCCAGTTTAGCAGAATGGCTCCCTTTTAAGAAACCCAAACAGTTGCCAACACAGAACATAAAACAAACCTTAACAAGTGAAGGGATTGAAATGCTAGAAAGTGCATTGTAGATCACAATGAAATTAAGCTAGAAATCAATCTAAAAGTAGTGAGAATTTCATCAACACATAAATAATCAATGAATCAAAGGATCTCAGAAAGTATTTTGAACTGAAATAAAAACAAAGGACTTGATAATATACATTTGTATTGGTGTATAGAAAAGAAGAAAAGTTCAAATGATTTGAGCTTCCACCTTAAGAAATCAGGAAAGAAAAGCAGAATAAATCCAAAGCAAGCAAGTGGGTGAAAACAACAAAGCAAAGAAAGACACAACATTGAAAATAGAAAGACAATAAAACAACAGCTGTTCTTTAATAGAGCCATGAGTTTGATAAATCACTAGCGAGGCTGACAAAGAAAAAAAGAGGGAAGGCACACCTTATAAAAGGAAAAAGCAATCTGACTAACAATCCTACAGTAACAGAATATGCTGAAAAAGCCTGCAATGCGCTGACAACTTAGATTGAAAGGGGTCAAGATCTCAAAAAACGCACACTATGAAGGCACGCCCAAGACAAAACAGGTGGGCTGAATTATCAACTGTGGACAACTGTGGACAACTGAGACCAAATTAATTTATTACAAATCTTCTGAAAAGGAACATCAAGAGGCCCCTATCTCACTAGCAAATTCAATGAAACATAACAGAAGAAGCAACACTAATCCCCCATAATCTCTTCCAGAAAGTCAGAGGGAACACTTCCCAAATTATTTTACGAAGCCAGAATTACCATGTTACCCAAAACCGGAGGTCACATAAGAAAAGGCACCAACAGACCAAAATCTCGAGTGAACATACACATAAAAACCCTCAGCAAAATGTTCCAAATCAAAACCAACAGTATATAAAAATAGAATAACACAATGAAGTGGGATTTGTCCCATAAGTGCAAAGCTTGTTTGATACTTGGAAATCCATGAATGTAATCCATCATATTAATAATGTAAAGAAGGAACAAATTGATGATTCTATGAATCAATGCAGAATATTTATGTGAAAAGATTTAATATCCATTCATGCTAATTAAAAAAACCCAAGTAGCTCTTAGTAAAGCAGGAATAGAAGCTAATGTCATGCTTAATGTGAATGACTGAAAATTCCCTGCCAAGACGGAACAAGGCAAGAATTTCCATCTTTACCACTCTTCTTGCATGTGTGTTAGGAAACAAACAAACAAACAAATCATAGAGATTGGGAAGAAAGAAATGTGTCCCTGTTTATAGATGACATGATTGTCTACGTAAAAAATCCTGAGAATCTACAAAAATAACCTCCTAGAATTAATAAGCGAGTCTAGCACTGAGATTGTAGGGTACAGGGTCAAAACCACAGTCTTGATTTCTAGACACTACTGTAGTGTGCTGCAAAACCGGCCTCAAAGGTACTAGGTTCTAACCCCTATAGCTTGTAAATGTTGCCTAATATGGTAAATTTTCATAGACAAGATCGTTAATGATCTTGAGATGAGAAGGCTGCCCTGGATTATGCAGGTAAGCCCTCAATGCCCTCACAGGTGTCTTTATGAGAGGGAGGGAGAGGGGGTGTCTTTATGAGAGGGAGGGAGAGAGTGATCTGACACTCAGGTGAGAGCAATGTGGAGACAGGTCAGGGTGGAATGAGGCACACACTAAGGAATGCTGGCAGTCAGGTGAAGCTAGAAGAGGGGAAAACAAATCTCCTCCACAACTTCTGGAGGAGTACAATCCTGCCACACCATTGATTCCAGACCTGTGAGAGAATAAACTCCTGTTGTTTTAAGCTACCAAGTGGGTAGTAATCCATTTCAACCATCACTAAAGACTAATACAACCAGAGATATAGCCAATTAACATTAAAATTGTAGAATCAGTAACATCTGTCGTGATACAGGATTTGGGTGTAAAACGGAAACAATTCTCATAAAACAAACCAAAAACTTAAATAAGTGAAAACACCTTCTACTATGTTCATGGGTTAAAAAAAAGGCAACATAGGGGCCTTCCCTGGTGGCGCAGCGGGTTAAAGCCCAGCACTAAGAAGCTTAAGCCACTTCTGCATGAGTTCGATTCCCACCTGTCCCCCACCCCCCATGGCGCGGCAGACCTCTCCTGACCCGCCCGCTGCTCCCCTCAGCAGTGTACTTCGTCGATCTGCCTGTTCTGCTCCCCACTCTGTCCCTGGTGAATCCTCTCACCCTCCGCATCTCTGGCCTGTACCCTAGTTCTGTATGAATGAATAAATAAATCTTTAAAAAAAAAAAAGTCAACATAGTGGAAATGTCCATTATCTCAAATTGGCCTATAGATTGCACACAACCAGCGAGAACTGTGCTGAGTGGAGAAAGTTAGCTTCCAAAGGTGGTTACCTCGATGATAATATCACTTACAGGGTCAGAGAAGAGCTAAGTGGCTGCCGGGAGCTGGGGCAGAGTGGGAGTGATCTGGGGTGACAGAGCCGTGTTGTGCCTGGCTGTGGTGATGATTACCTGCGTGCGCATTCTCAGAGGTGCATACCAACAGGAGAGTCAGTGCGACTGATGATGTCTTAAAATGCAACACAAGACCATTTCATTTCAGCAAACAAGCGCCATGGTTTCCCCAACACGCGTCTGCTAAGCTTCCCCAACACTCATGTGGGTGTTTGGGATGTGAGGATATCGTCCCTGTTGATAATCAGTATTACCAACTCAAGACTCAAAGACTAACTCAAAGACTCCTTCCAGGACAGTTCTTAAGAGTTATGTGTTTCTTCTCTCCTTGTTCTTTCCTGAGTCCTTTTGTGAGGAGAGCTCCCCCAAATAACACTGTCCCTGAGGAAGGGAGAGAGAACGGCTGCAGACCAGCCTTCAATACAAAAGGTAAGAGATAATAGGAATAAGCAACGCAGGACTGGAACCCAGGCTCTGCCAAGGCCAGTGCGGGGCATGAGCCCACCCTCTAAGCCAGCTCCCGAACATCTGTCAAACCCAATGAATCTAGAATGAACTGCGGAAGTTAAGGGCTGATCCTCACACACTATTTTTCAAGATGGCACCCATGACACACAAGTTACGGTTTCCTTTTGTGCCCCCAAGACTAAAACGGACCAACTAAAATGGCGTGCCCCTGTGTTGCCAGCTCAGTCACAGAAGAGCTTCGCGAGGTCCTCTCGGTACGTTCTCTCCTTTCTACAAGACAGAACGAGTCTCAAAGTAAGCAAGGCCCTCTGTAAACACTAAAGAGCAAACTTGGGGTGCCTCAGTTTGGGGGCCACAGAGAAGGCACAGTTTCCCCTGGGCTGGAGCTGGGAGCTGGGTGGGGCGCGCGCCCCCTGCAGGCAGGTCTTAGGGTTTCAGGAGGGTCTCCCTTGGCTAGGGTGTTTGCTTTCACGCACGGTGCTTCTTGGACCTCCTTTTCCTTTCCCGGAAGATTTTTGTAGGGGATAAAGGGAAATCTGAATTAAAGAAAGATAAATTATTGTTCCAGAAAAGAAGACTAGCATCAACCTCTCCATTCCTCTAGGGCCTGAAAGACTGCTTTGGCTGAGAAGTGAGCTAGTCTTCGAGAAAGCTCCGCTTCACCCTAAGACTCTTCCTTCAGCACATCGCCGGGAAGAGGTCCCAGGTCATGTGGAGACCTGGGGTGGGGGCCTGGGGGCGACTCCTGCACCAGCTTAATACATTATTCTCAGACAGAACAGAAATAAACAAACAAATGGAGCTTGCTCTAGGGGGATGAGGGATCCGTACATTTACTAAAGTTCAAGCCACTTTTTTTTCTGGGACCCCACGGGTGTGCATGCACGACAGGCCAAGCCTCTGCCTGCACGAGCGGCAGCGAGCAGCTGCGGGATCAGCCGGTTCCGTTTCTTATCTTACTCTTCCATCCTGTTTCCATCTCTACACACCAGCACCCCTAACTTCCCCACTCTTTAGGGTGTTCTGGGTTCTTAGAACTTGTTTCATGGAGGCTGGTGGCTCTGCATCCTCCCCCGAGTCACTGAGAACCAAGGAACATGCCAGCACCTTCTGCAAACCGCGGCTGGATCTGGGCTTTGCAGCCAGGGTCTCGCTGGCCACCTGCTGCTGGGCTCACAGTCTCACTCCTGCCCGAGCACGTCACATAAACCTGATTCCCTGAGCAGGGTGACAGGGGCCAGAGGGGAAGCGAGGGACAATACCACCCACAAAGAGTAGCCAACCCAAAGGGAAAGACCTGGGCTCTCAGCCCGGACACGTAGACACCGGGGCCAGGCTGCTCTGCCCTGGGAGGACGCTTAGCAGTGACGCCCCCTGGGCCCCTTAGCACTGCTGTGACAACCAGCAGTGTCTCCAGAGATGGCTAAATGTCCCTGGTGGGCAAAACCGCCTCGGCTGACAACCACTGGTTGAAAATATTTCTCAAGCCCTCTGCATTGTGCAGCACGCTGAGGACGCTGTAGTCTCCGTCCTAAAATAACTCACGTCTGTTGAAAGAGACCAACCCTAAGGGATGAGACACTAACAATAAATTATAAATATTATGAAATAGATGGCGCCACAATGTATAATTTGGGGATCTCACTGAGATGGGGGTGAGGCCAGGGAGGCCTTGTAAGGAAGCGCCACATGTAGCAAGAAGGCTAAGTAGGCATGGCTGGGAAGAGAGGGGTAAAGACCCCTCCAGAATCAATGGCATGTGCAAAGGCCCTGAGGCAGGAGCTAGGACCCTGTGCCGCCTCGGCGTGGGGACATGGAGAAGACTACAGGAAGCCAGAGCGTGAGCCTCGCCCAGGTCTGAGAGCTCAGTCACGGTTTGATGGCCCGCAGTTCAAATGTACTTCAAGTTTAACCAGAGGCCACCGTGTGACAGTGTCTGGGGTTCTGGGACA